TGCGCACCACATTGGCTTTGCCCATGCACACATCGATCTATATTTTCATTTAAAAAACATCCCAGAATTGCACAAACTGGGCATCGCGCTCCACAATGGCTTTGCCCATGTGCACATCGATCTATTTTCACTTAAAAAAAAAATCCAGAATTGCACAAACTTGGCATAGCTCACAACCTCGGCATTGCGCACACATTGGCTTAGCCCATGTGCACATAAATCTATTTTCACTTAAAAAAACATCCCAGAATTGTACAAACTCGGCTTCGCGCACAACCTCGGCATTGCGCACCACATTGGCTTTGCCCATGTACACATCGATCAATTTTCACTTAAAAAATTCTAGAATTGCACAAACTCGGCATTGCGCACCACATTGGCTTTGCCCATGTGTACATCGATCTATTTTCACTTAAAAAAACATCCCAGAGTTGCACAAACTCGGCTTCGAGCACAATCTCGGTATTGCGCACCACTCAAAACCGTCTACACGTCTCAAAACCCGTCTCTCTACTAGTTTCATATTTGTTCCACAAATTGGGCACTTATACGATATTGCAATCAAACTTTTCTCCATACACCACTCAATAATGCTCTTTTCACCTCTTCGCTCCAAGTGATAAAACACCCAGATTCAGATACTCATGCATTCTGCAGTAAGCACGAATTTTGGCACACACATCAATAATCAAAACATTCTTTAAGCAAAAGAATTCTCTTCTGTATTTTCAGAAGTTAGGGTTATAATTTTTAACTCATGCATTCAATATTTTTAATCGTTTGGTAATGATCGTTTTCAATCGTTTGGTATCTTAATAATACATCTGTGAGAGATAATTCGTTGCGTTAAATGCTAACACTACCACACAACACAGAAATGTAGATTTATAATTAAAAAAAAATTTAAAAAACAAAATCTGAAATGTTTCAGATTTTAAATTACTCCAAAGGGGCGTTTTTTAACATTTTGTGTGTTACCTTTCTTTATTAAATATCATGTTCCTCGCACTTAAACCATAAGATCCAGTGCAACAGCAATATCGCAAAATAGTTTTAAAACGAGCATATCTTTAGAATTTCCCATACAGAGACTCACGCGCTGGAGATAAAAATGTTTTTCTGCACAACGTTGCCATTGCTCGCTTTGAAATCCTTGAGTTTGTTAATCAAAAATTCGTCAAAGTTTTAAAAATAGGAAATCGATCATAAAACAAATTTCAAATTTGGTCTTCCACATGCTCATATTCGTTGGAGGATTACGTTATTCAAAATTCGATGACTCTATGTACCGTTGTTTTATCACAATACGAGAAATATACATACATTTATGCAGATTTTTCATTATTTAATTTCTTCAAATATAATGCAGGACTCTAACATTTTGTGGCAACAGTTTGAAAAGTGAACCGACATTTATGAGTCCGACGCAAAATGCCAAAACGAAACTAATAGTCCTTCGGGATTCAAATCCCTTTGGACTAAAAAATCTCGCACAGAACATTATAAACCTACCATTTCAACTCAGTTAAAATATAATTTAAGTTTTCTTTAAATACGAAGCTATAGCGTACTTATAACTTGTTTTTAAGAAGAAGCATAACCAATATTACGCCATAAAAACGCGTGTTCAAGCATAAGAGAAGTAAACACAGCATTCACTGATGCAGCCTATTCTGCAATTTAGCCTATAGATCTTAATTTTATTTAAAACAATCCTGCCTGTAACATTTGATTTGAGGTTGATCAATGCATTATGAACTGAATCAAATTCTTAAAAAGTTTTTTCACCAGACTCATGGCAAAAAAATAAAATTTTTTTGGAGGGGCGTGTCAATAAAAAAAAAAATTTTTTTTGGCATCAGAATTATTTTTTGAAAGTAACATTTGCTTTGATGATATTCTAGGACGATATTATAGGATTCTTTCTCTATAATCCTAGTTTTGCCTGGTTTTGATTAAACAATTTTAAATTATTTCTGATTTGTTCTATCTATGTTAGAGAGATCATATTTATAGCATCCATGTACATTTATCTTATTCTATTTGTTTCAAGCAACAATAGACAGAAAAGGTATTTGAATCAATCTCTTTCTGCAGAATGCTATGAAATTGGCAACTATATAATAGTCTATAAAGAATGTCAAGGAATTTTGGATGACAACAAAGTTCATAATGACTGCAATGGATTTATACAATTTAAAGGAGAGGGGGGGGGATATTACATTTATCCAAAAATCAATCAGTTGTGAATAGTCCACGAAATCCAAATTTTAGAATTTTGCCTTCTTGTAACATTTTATTTGACTCACAGTTAAGATTTATTTTGTAGTTAAGTTAAACTAATGATTAAGATTTATTTTGTTACTTTACTCTATGCCTTGGTTTATCACATACTCATTCACTCCAGAGGTTTATCCAGATTTTATGGCAAGTGGTGCCATTTAAATTGAAGAGAAGAATTGTACCCACAGAACGACCTGTAGACTTGATTATTTTTGCTGCCATCTGCTTGTTCAAAGAAGTTGCTGATCAGAATAATCATGAATTCCTAACAAGCAGCAGGGCTTTGGTAAGTGCTGAATATTAGTAGAGTATAGTTAGTCTGATCCAGTTGGTATTGAAAAGTCCTAGCCAATAGCTGTAGTCAAAAAGGCTTAAAATTTTATGTTATATATATAGTTTTTTTTTTTTTTTTTTTTTTTTTAAATTTTAGATTCACTGCACCAGAGCAGTAAGGAATTAAAGTTTAAATTATTTTTTACATGTTGTGCTATATCTTGTTCCCACAACCAGTTAAGCAAAGGACAATAACTTACCTGCACAGCAGCACAGCATAAGTAACAGCTGAGAGTGAGTGGCTGACAGAAGAAATTAATTACGCCACCTCTGAATCACTATGTACTTATTGCTTTGTCGATTTTCTTGAGATATTCTGTAAAAATGCCTATGGTAACCTATGTTTTTTTTTTTCTTATTTTCGCATTATATATGGCAAGGCTTTAATATTATTGAAATAGCTTAGTGTCTCGGTATTTTTTTTTTTTATTCCACTATCAGTATTTGTACAGGGTAAAACAATGAGACAATGTTCACTTTTCTAGACTCCATTACAATGATTGTCTTTAAACTTAGAATTCTTACAGGCTGAGATGAAAGAATGTTTCATCAACATTAAAAACATCTTACAGTTCATAACCACCCATTTTTCTAGTAACATCCACTTCTAGTACAGTATCCACATCTCATCTCCATTAATTAACAGTTTCAAAAAAGGAGCTTTTTTATTATTTATTTATTTATTATTTTTTTTAAGCAAAGAATCACATGCCCAAAATTTGAGCAAGCATATTCTGCTCTGGTAAAACATGGGATACCCATACATGGTAACAGCAGCTTTACATACAAAATCAATTAAAAGCATAATATGACAAAAATACACTTTTGGGTTCTTCATTCTTAGCACAGCACTGAAAGAATTATTATGCCACATCACATACTAGAATTATGCGATGTGTGCAGAAAAGACTTATGATTATTTAACTCTAGACTCATATTTATTAAACATCCACTTTGATCAAGGTACTCCTTACCAGGAGGGAAAAAAATAATAAGAAGAAAATATGCTTCAATTTCAAAAACCACAGAACTTCTGGGATGATCCAATATGATCATTCACATCAATGCATAAATAAATTACTTTCCATCCTTCTTTTATATGACTCATGTTATGTTTACTACCTGATGTCTAAACATATTCATTCTGCCTTCAACTAAATATTTAGGACACTTCAATAAAACAATTAACAACCTCCTCCCCCCCAAAAAAAAACTTTTTTCCAAAAAGCAAGGAATTAAAGAGTAATATTACATAATGTAAACTGCTGATGAATATATAAAAAGTTTTCAGAAAAGATTATGCCTGCCCCCTCTAAAATTTAATTTCTAATTCTTTAAAAAACATATATTTATCTACTTTTTATACATCCAATTCTTACAGCTATATTTAACATTACAGCCTTCCAATAATAATAACTTTAGCATTACTTTCATTAAATAAACAACCATCAAACTAGAGACAAAAGGTTACAATATAAAGAGGGACATCACAAAATGATAAAGTCAATTTTAAAGCTTATTTTCCTCCCCAGCACTTGTTTTTCCTTCAATGTATCACCTATACAGTGATTATCTATAGCGATAATCTACAAACCAATGTAAAATTTCTCCAAACAATTTGCCTACATTATAGCACCTGGGAAAGAGAAAAATTCAGTAGCATATTATATTTTACAAAACATAAAAATACTGTTTTCTGGTTCAGATTCATAGATATTTTCATAATAACATTGTCAAATGAGCATGAAGAAAGTGACAGTTTACTGAATTAACAGCTCATATTGCAAGAAAAAGAGCTATATACAGTAAGAAGAAAAACACAGATAAGACAAATTCTCCTTAATACATAAAATCTGATGCATATCACCATAATTACTCAAAAAGTAAAGTCTGAAGCAGTAATCACCAAGTGAGATGCTTTCTATCAAAACAATCACAGGTTCTGAACTAACTTAACACATGATATTGCAAGTAAAGATTGTAACCAAGGCTTAGCAGGAAGGTTTCTGCACCTATTTTGAGTTCTAGTTAAACTGTACTAACGTTGAAATATTAATCAATTCAGAATCAAAAGATCTACAAAACAGTACACAAAATAAACACTTGTAAGCATAATAAGAGGCCACAAGTTAAATTAAGCAAAAATTCACAATAAAAAAATTACTTCATAAAATGCCTGAAACAAATTTAAAAAAATTGACAACAACACTACAAATACACTACTAAATATAAATAACAAACACAAATTTTTTACAAGAATTTACAAAAATATGCATTTCAAGATTGACACAATGTCACTAATGCTACATTCGTAACATTATAATTAAGAAAAAAATATTCCCATTATTCATGATTGCAAAGGATCTGTGAATTATTTGACTTACCATCAATAAGAACAAATTCAACTCCAGAAATTTTCTGTCCTATTAATGAGCCTTTTTCGCACATCATGCGAAATCCCTTAAATATTAAAAATATTTTGTAGTGGTAACACGGAATTATGTTTGTTATTTATCTATTCACAATATTTTAAATATTTATAAGCACTTTTTATATAGTTAGCTATGAATTCTTTACAATATATTCTAAATATATGCATCAGTGTTATAACTTTTATATTTCAAACACATGATATATTGTTCTAAGTTTATAAATTAATAAAGATGCAGATAATATATATTAATACAGATGTACAATTTACAGAAGGGATGGCCAACTGTAGGCACATGGACAATGTATGCAATTCTAATACATACGCATGAATAGATTTGTAATTGTGCACAATTAATATCTAGCTTAGATGCATATTTTGTTCTGAGTAAGTGTGCACTAAGTTCTCAACAACTGCCATTATATTTTAAAGCTTAACATTTCAGGACATAAATATCTCATCATCTGAAACAACCTCTCAACATCTGAAAATTTTATTTTGAATTTATTATGTGTTTTACCTTGGTTTTTTCTTATTATTTCCCTATTTGCGAAACTATTTATAAAGACAATTTGAAATAAATATAAATACAGTCTTAAAAAACACGTTTGTTATTCGAGACTGCATTCTTAAACAGTGATCAAAAACAAATGCGCTGCTTCTGGAAAAAAAAAGATGTTTTTCATATAAACTGTATCTGACATTCACACATCATGCTTAAAAGTTTTGAAAAATAGCAAAATTTTGTCTTTTTCATCAATTTTTTTATAATTACTGAACTTGCTAATATTGAAATGCAATTGTTCTTAATGTGAATTTTGGAACATGAGAAACACGTTAAAAAGTTTAAAACCTGTAATTTAAAATTACTTATTGTTGGAAAAAAGCTAAACACACACACACATTTTGTGAAAATAGCAAAATTTCATTATTTCTGATAATTTTACTTTTCCATTTTTAGTAGAAAACAGTGAACATGTTTATCATTTAAAATTTTCTATTCAAAAGAATGCACCTTAAAGTTAGTTTTTTTGGGAAAATTCTGGCATAATACATCTTGACAGAAGGGTCATCCTAATCAAGCTGCCTCTTACATCTTTTTTAGCCTTTTTAAAAGACCCTTTTAAAAGCTCTAGTTAGAAGTTTGAAACACTGTTCTACAGCCTGGCTGTGACAAGGAAAGCTTTGGAAAAATGGTTATAGTGATGCACCAATCTTAACACGTTTCCTGCCAAACAGTTTTTTGAAAACTTCCCGTTCAGGCCGTGTGGGCCGTATACATTTGTATTATTTTGTTTCTGGCATATGCCTTACAATAATTAAAATAGTGCACAAATCATAATTATCAAGGAAAGGTTGTATAGTTTAACATGCATAACACAACAAACCACTAAATTTATTTTTCTAGGAATTAGTTTAACAAATACCTGGCTGAACATTACTATGACAAGCAAGTTGCATCCTCACATATAATTTTTTTTATTGTACATGAAATGTAATGGAAAAATAGGGCTTCTGCTCAAGGTACGAAATGAAACGCTTGTGAGATGGATGCTAAAATAAACCTACCACTTTATATTCCAAAATTTGTCTCATTCCTCATTCCTGTTGCCCCGGCTGCACAAAACAAATAATGTATGAGAAATTACATTTCAGAAAGCCGGTAGGATACCACCTTCAAAGGGATTATCTAAAAAGAAAGATACCCCCAAGGATTATACGGATAAAATGTTACGCACTTTAGATGAATTTGCCGCTGTGCGACTTCTATGTTTCTACATTTTTCTCTAGGCGTTCTTGCTTCAAGAGAAATCATCCTTCTGTTACCTGTATTCTGCAGATTATTTTTTACGTCCAGAGAAGCATCCTTCTGCCCCCTGTGATGCGTGATCTGTGTTTCCATCGAAAGTTCGTCGTTCATCAAATGTGCTCTTACCGTTGACCTACTTTTGAGGATGGAAATCTTTCCCTACGTCTACGCCGTTCTGTGTTGCTCTCGAGAGCTTTGTGCTTGTGTGGTGATTGATCGTGTTTTGCGGCAAAAAATCTAATCAAGAGTGCACAAAATGTGTATTTTCGTGTCGATTTCATCACTCGTATTCTCGTCACAATAAGTCAAACAGAAGCAATTAGTAAAAAGATTGGCGATGCAAATGATATTATTACTATTGAATTATAATTACTGATTTAATAATAGTGTTTTTATTTTGAAAATTTTAAAAAGTATTATTTTGGTATAAATGTATTTTAAATTTGGTATTTAAAGGATGTATTTTGGTTTTAATATTGTTTTGGGAAAATTTAAAGAATTATTTTTTTGAGTTAGTTTTATTTATGAAAGTATTATTAAGAGATATAATGGCTAATGAAAACATCTCTCTGATCCTGATGATTCATTAAGGGCAGCTAGCGCGCTGAACCTGAAACAAGTATAATTCCCTTTGACGCGCAGAATGATATGGATATAAATTCATGGCTTGAGTACTTTAACAAAACTCATTTAGATAAAGATGAAACGTGGAAGCTTAATAATGTAGCTCGATATCTAAAAGGTAATGCACTTAGCGTATATGTCAAAAACTGCCATAAAATTACTAAATATGTGGAATTAGTCCAAATTTTAAAAGGAAAATTTTTTCGACCCCACTTTAACTACGTTTGGTGATTTTGCCAATTACAAGTACAATCATAAAGAGGACATAACGCAATATTTTCGCAAAAAATTAGATATTGGTAAAAAATTAAATCTAACTCATGAAATGATCTTGGAGGGTCTGACGGATGGCCTTCCTATAGAATTAAAATCCTTAATGACGATCAACGCACCCTCTGACCCCATCTCTTGGCTTACTCATGTCCATAAGCTTATTAAGATTAGCGAAAATCAACAAATCAAAAGTGCACCTCCCAGATTTGTTACTCCGATTGGGAACAGTCCCCAAGATTACAATCGATTTAATAGAAGTAGAATTTCAGCTTCAAGCTATGAAACTACTGTGAGACAAGATTCTCCTAGACACAACAATTTCCAAAGTTTTCAGAGACCAAGTAATTTTTATAATCGGTTCAGTGGTTCAAGATTTACAAGCCATCATAATTATAATTCTCAAAATAGATTGCCATTGCATTGCCACCCAGTCCCTGTAGACTTTGCACCCGGAACGGAATCCCAAATGCTTTTCACTAGTTTCAGGTTTGTCCTTTCAGAGGGGAGAGATCTGATACACCTAATGTACACCTAATGTTACCCCCTTGCAATAGAACCAACCCCAGAAACCCCTCACAGTAGTTGACTATTAAAGGTGTCGGGATATTTGTCCAATAAGAAACGTCTAGAGTGTGTTGTAGACAGTGGTGCCACCATATCAATAATTTCTTCTTCAAAACAGCTAGACAATTACGTTTAAAAGTACAAAGAGTTAGATCATTTTCAGTAACCCAAACTAAAGGAAAAATAATCTTCAACAAAATATGTTGTATACAAATGAAAATTGGACGGATTAGTAACCAAATTACCTTGTATGTTCTTGATAATAATTTGAATTATGTAATTTTAGGACTTTATGAATGCAAATTATTTGAGTTGAGTATTGATTGTACTAATTTAAAAATTAAACAGAGATCAGATCACATTTCTTGGCTATGAAATAAAAAATGGTAGAATAATTCCCGATAACCATAATATAGAAGTTATTAAGAAACTTAAAAACCCCAGTAACACCAAAGAGTTACAAAGAGTTTTGGGAAGTGTGAATGTGTATCATAGATTCATTCCGAATTAGAGCTCCATTAAACTATTAGAACTATTAGAGCTCCATTAAACAGACTCTTGAAAAAAGATGTCAAGTGGGAATGGGATGACCAATGTCAAAAAGCTTTCGACGAAATGAAAAGAATAATGGTTTCCAAACCTGTTTTACAATTGTATGATTCCAGTAGGCCATGTCATATTTTTGTTGACGCTTCTCAAACTGCTGTTGGAGCTGTTTTGAAACAACCAGATGAAAATGATGTCCTTCACCCTGTATCATATCATTCCCGAACTTTAAGAAATTATGAGAAAAATTATACGATTACTGAGTTAGAATGTTTGGCCATAGTAGATGCCCTAGACAAATTCTATTACTATCTGCATGGACAAAAATTTGTTATACATACGGACCATGCGGCCCTCGTTTGGCTCAAAAATGTTAAAAATTTAAAAGGTAGACTCTTCCGTTGGTCACTCAAACTAAGTATGTTCAATTATGAAGTAAAGTATCAGAAGGGCTCTACCAATATTGAAGCTGACATGCTTTCTAGACATCCTGTTTCACAGCACCTCCAACATTATGTACATTTACTTGATAGAAATGAAATAATCCAACAACAAAAAACTGATAATGTCTGCGGAAAAAATTACCAAGAGATAAATGATATGATGGTAATTAAGAAAAAAGAATTTTTATAAAATTGTAGTACCTAAATCTTTAAGATTAAAATTGTTGAATAAAACCCATGAAATTTTTTTGGTCACCCGGGAGTTCAAATTATGCTTAACTTAATCACCCCTCAATATTATTGGCCTCATATTAGCGAAGATATCGGAAATTTTGTTAAACATTGTCATACTTGTCAACTTAATAAAAAGAAAAAACAGAAAAAATTTGGTCTTATGCAAGACGTACCCCCAACCGACAAACCTTTCGAATGTCTCTCTATTGACACTGTGGGAGGATTTAATTATTATAATTCTACAAAAAAATATTTACATATAGTTATTGACCATGCAACAAGATATGTCTGGGCTTTTCCCTCTAAAAGTGTAACTTCAGAAACCTATGCCAATTGTCTAAAAACAAATATTTCAAATACAAGTCCCCGAAAAAATTCTGAGTGACAGGAATGCAGCCTTCACTTCCTCTAGATTCAAAAAATTTCTTAAAAAGCATAATGTTAAACAACTTTTAACTTCATCTCACCATCCCCAGACAAATGGTAAAGTAGAAAGAGTAAATCAATCAATAGTAAGTCGACTAAAATGTAAAGT